GTTTTAATAAATACGATACGATAACAGATGGCTCCACCAAATTTTTGAATTTTGCCGGAAAAGTTGAGCAACTCGTAGCTGGTTTATTAACCCATTTTTCCTTGTGCGAAAGGCTTGTTATTGTTCTTATAAAAACTTTTCTACAAACCTCATACTTTGTGTCCTTTACTGTGCATTGTTCTTCACATCTGAAAACCATTAAACGCAATGTTTTTTCTTATTCGTTTTAATAAAAGAAAGAGAAAGGTTGTCAGGGACACCAACCCTCGTCTATGGTTAACGTTTCGTCGGTAGCCTACTTGCAGCTAGACTCAGAACTTTACATTTGCTCAATTTTTAATGGCCATGACATGGTGCATCATGGACGACGTCAACATGACAATCGTTGATGACCACCTTTTGCACATACGTAGACAACAGACCAAATGCATTCATTGAACCACTTTTAGTAGAAAGCTCTAGCGCGATAGACACGCAGTGTTACCAGTTCGGGTATTAAATTGATCTTGTACTTAAATTGGAGTTGACATAATTTCCATAATATAAAATTAAACGTAAGTAAAACACGAAGGACAGCTCTTGCAATTGTTGAACTGTTGGCTGCTTCAATTTATTTTGGAAAGTCCAAATATGGAATAGAGGAGCTTCAAGAACAAGTTTTCCTATATCACGTTAACAGTGAATCTCCCGCAAGTAGCTATAGTTTCATCCCCCGAGAGCAAAGACAATTCACACACTTTAACCTTATACTCTCTAGTGCTTAGTAATTGCCATCATCGCATCATGTTATTCTATCAAAAAGTTTAATTTTCAAAGAAACTATAAGGAAACGACTTAGCATGTTGGCTTCAAGGAATATTTCTGTAGAGTAGATGAACTTCGAACATTATTATTTCTATGTTTCTGCAAAAATTTCCTAAAGACTGTGTTGTGTAATTTTTTTGAAAAGAATATTTACAACTAGCAATGTATTACACGAAGTTGTTTTTAGAACTGTGCGTGCTATTATCCATTTCCATTTTTACAAAAATAATTGGCGAGGTGTTTTATCTGTGCATACTGTTTTTGTTGTGGCTCTTTGCTGATATAGGTGAAATATTAAAAAAACGGTATTTATAATATAAAGTATATTTAATTCTGTTTAATATTTTATGTCACTTTTCATCTTTATACGAAACAAAGATTACAATCAGTTTGGTTCACTCAATAAGAACAAAACCAAACCTGTTTAGAACAGAATTGACAGAATATGATTTTGCCATCTGTAATAAAATTACGATGGTTGCCAATCCACGGCTGTAAGAGCGCTAACTTAGATGATTTTACATTAGGCCTTGTTTCTTAAGTGCCTTACACAAAATATTTACACTAAAACCTCGATTCTAAAATATTCGTTATTGAAGGAACCGCCTGAAAAAACGCGTAAATGAAAAAACATTCATTACGAACAAGTCAATCTTCAAACGTATTCATTACGGAAACTGTCATTCATTAGGGACAAGCCAGACTGGACTGTTATTTTATTTAAGAGACAGCTATGCCCACGTAGAAATCAACTAATTAAAAAAATGTCAACAAAATATTTATTGATGAATATGCTTACAATATGTAAGATGCAAAACTTAGTTGGATGGTACAGGTTGAAAATGAAATCGTATATTTATTTATGCTGTTTTTAAAACTGCTAGTAGTACTCTAATTTTTTCTGATTACAAACATTTTTAAAAATTTGGGAAGGATTAATTTTGAAACTTGAAACTGTTTACGTTGAAATTTGGTGTCTTTCAATTTATGAATCCTTAAATGAATCCAAGAAAATCAGTTAGAAATGGTTTAACTGTTGTTGTAATACAATCACTCTTAAAATTTATAAGTTAAATTTCAGAGAAATGAAATTCATTGACAATTTGAAAGTTCATTAGCATTGGGCCGTTAGATTGATTAATTTCGCATTCCTACAATTTTTTTTGACTCCGTTCACTTAAAAACTGTAACTGCTTATAATTATCCTCATCACTCCTGCAGCGAATAAATTATCACCGATATTAACACTTTAGTGCAGGGCTTCTTAAACTTTTTTTATTCACGACCCCATTTATAATTGTGATTTTTTTTTCGCGACCCAAAAAAAATATAAAATAAAGATATATACAAATTTGCAAAAACAATAATGGAGTACTACCACAGTTCACTCTTGTGTTACAATGGAACAGAGAACTGAATACACTGAAAAGCGACAACACTGTATTAGTTCACACTACAGTGTTGCTGAATTGTTGTCTCGCTGCACCAGAAGTGACACAAAGCGCGACTCACGAAAACTATGACACAAACCGTGCCATTTTCAAACTCCCACAAATTATTTTCAATATTTTGCATTAAAATCTCGCGAACCCAAGATTTCGCTAAGCGACCTAAATGGGGTCGCGACCCATAGTTTAAGAAGCCTTGCTTTAGTGAATAGAAATAATTTACGTTAATAATATGTGTAGATTAAATGTTTTGTATGAAAAGGAACAAAGTAGGAGTTTAGGGCAATGTCCTAGCTTTAGTTACATGAAACATTATTCAGCATCACAATGAATACTTTTGGGAAACATCTGGATTTTAGATTTTGAAAAAAGTCTTTGGTACAAGTCTCTGTAGGGTGAACATGTTCGTCATAAATAATTGGATAAACGTTAATAAAACCTATATTCGTTTTATAAGTACAGAGTTAAGCACTAAGGGCAACTTGCAGATATCTAATAAAGCCAACCACTGCCGTATGCCATTGGGCTGTATAACGGCTAAGCCGTTATATAGCTCGATGGCATACATTACTATAATGTATCGGTTTTCGTAGTGTTGTTTGTTTGCAGATTATCTTTAGTCAATAAAAATGCTAGACAAGGATGTCTGCATGTCTGTTATATTTGGTTAAAGATTGAGTTAACTTTGATAAAAGACAGGTATAAAAAATTAAGAAATTATAATTATGGCATGGCGATGGATAAGGGAAAATAAATAGATGGTTTTTTCAATTGCATTAAAATTATTCTAAAATAAATAACTTATGCGTTCAATTAATATTTAATTACAATATTTTACGAGATACTTGTCAAGTTCACTATAAATGGGCCCTGTCCAATAAGCAAATAGAAACAACCCTTATCGTTGCTTTAATTGCGTAAAAAAATTTTGTACGTACATTTACATGACAAAAATAGACAATCACATTCTACGTTTAATATTATGTAGGAAAATTATCCAGTACAAAAAGTCATATACCGCCATTATTCTTTCATGAAAAGGAGGCTGAACTCGGAATTTTCTGGCCACGTGGCAGTGAGATTTCGTCTGTTTGTTTACAAACGTAAGAAATTTTTATTAAGTATTTTCGCCCATCATATGTTAATAAAAAATTAGATATAATTTAAATTCAAAACAGTTCAATTTTTATTTCGTTTTTGTTTTAATTATATAGTAATCAAAAATAAAGGAACTATTTATTATCTACAGCATACCAAGTAGGAGTGATGAGCCAAAATTAACGTATACGCAGAACACTTTAAGTGCTTACTTAGTCATAGTTAGCATGACACGTGAATAGTACAGCTCATTTTACGAATCTTGTTATAGATGTAAAAATGCGCACTAACAGGGACCAATCTATCAATATGTACAGTACTTAGTGAAGGAAACAGATTGTCCAAAATGTGACAAGATCACTGTGTGTTCTAAAAAGAGGTTGTTGAACTTTATAAAGCTTTCAGAGCCACAATCATGCACACACGCACTTACCGGCCAGGATAGATGAAGCTATCTGTTCTATATAACGGGAGTGACCAAACGTTATTACGACAGTAACCATATACAGTATCTCTTATCGGAAATAAACCGAGAACGGTATCATGTGTGTACAATATACACAGTAGTTAAAATACTATATTTATTACTGTTTTATAGTAAACGTAACTTTACTTTATCCGGTATCAGTAGAGTAACAACATTTACAATTAACATTTACATAAGTATTTTGTGATCAACTAAATCAGAGTTTTCAAAGCATTTTTGTTTTTATCTCACGGCACATTTGAACCGATAATTAAATTTCAGCGGAAAAAATCACGTGATTTAAAGTTGTGTTTGAAAACATTCTATCGTCATATTACTTGCCACTTAACCCAATTATTTTCGTCTGTATTTTTTTGTAAATTAAATAAAACAGTATTGTTGTTCCTTACAATAGTAGCAGGGTATAACAATAATTATGTAAATGAAAATTATTAATTTAAATAAGAAGAGCAATTAACATTAATTCTTAATTTGCATTTAAAAGTGGAGTGATAATTGACTTTAGAAAGATGCCCAATGCCCCGCTATTTCTAAGTTAAAATAATTTGAACTAAATATGGACAATTATAGATACATTTTTGATTTTAAGAAAATTTCATTTTTAATAAAATAACCCGGTGTTATCTAAATATATAAAACTAGCTGTTACCCGCGACTTCGCCCGCGCGGATTTTGCAAGCACCCACCATTTATATTCAGTATTTCAACAACCATGGTAATTATTATATAACATCTACCGCTGAGAATGATGAGGATTGCTGAGAATCAAACGAACTGTTTTCAATTTGATCAATTTTCTGGAACGTTTACAATCTTTCTATAATCGAACCAATATGCAATAGCAAATTCGAATTTAAAACGATTCGAACATTTGGTTAATAAATCGAAATATATGAAAACATTTCAGACAATGTTATAAATATTTTCATATATTTTGATTTATTAACCAAATGTTCGAATCGTTTTAAATTCGAATTTGCTATTGCATATTAGTTCGATTATAGAACGATTGTAAACGTTCCAGAAAATTGATCAAATTGAAAACAGTTCGTTTGATTCTCAGCAATCCTCATCATTCTCAGCGGTAGATGTTATATAACAATTACTATGGTTATATAACATATATGAATATAAATGGTGGGTGCTTGCAAAATCCGCGCGGGCAAAGTCGCGGGCTTATCATTAACTAGCGTAACAGCTAGTTAATGATAAGCCATTTGCGAAAAAATAAAGATAAGTGAACCTTTTGTCACGCACTTTCAGCTAGTAATAATAGCAATCAGCGGCGCCCGCAGGCTATAAAAGGGAGCACAAGCTATTAAAAAAAAGCTTTGTACTGTACGTTATTCAAACTCTACGATTCAACGTCACATCACGCTGCCACAAGGTGGCACTGGTAGCATTCGGGTTAAATTGGCTTTGAAAACAAGGGCTAACTTGTGGTTTCGGTCAACATGTAAAGAAGTTGAATGGGACAACGGACAAATATCGTTATTAGTCTCTCTTAAATTTTTCAGAATAGAAGTCATGAATTTTCTGTTTTGTGTCCCCTTGGATATTAGGAAAAGGGCAGCCGAGATACAATAGTTTTTAATTTTACATTATATTTTAGCGTTAGCAATTATTTGCATATACAGTATACCATTTTTAGTTATTTTACTTATTTTCAAATAGTTGAGACCCGACTAGATATTATTTAACAAGGTTCTATATTATCCGAGATGAATTGAAGACGGGTAATTGTTGTCAAAGAACGTAGTACAGAGAAGTTCCCTTTATGAATCGTGGCCGACAATTGCACGGTATTTGAAAGGAGATCTAAGTTTATAAAAAGAATTTACTCTAATTACTTACGATAGTACGGCTTAAATTATACATTAAAATTCATTTGTTCAATAAGTAGCTCTAATTTGAAAATATGCTACGGTTCATTGTACGGGTTAATTTTGATAAATTAATCAGTTAATGTTTCGTTTTTATCCAAGTAACCTATGGTTCACATTACCTCAGCTAATCGAGAATCTATTTAATCGTCTTACAGACATTCATTTTTGGAATAAGTAAATATGTAAATCATTTAAGTGACATTGTGCCTATGTTATGTCATGATTTACACATGAATATTTTCTGTGGTGTTTTATGGAGAACACTTGAAAGTTTAATTAATTCATTTAGGTTGTTAGTAGTTCATTCTTTAGTATTTTTAAAATTACTTATAAAAGCAAATAATATACACTTATTTATATATATTCATGATTTTGCAACGTAGAAGGTTATAATTATAATAATAATTATTATTATAATTATACTAATTATTATTATTGTTATTATTTTATTGTCGAATGGACTCGTACATCAATAGTTTTTTGCAAGCCTATACTAGAAATTTGCTGCTTGCACGCATTTCATTTAATGAGAATACAGTAACTAAATGCAAAACGCCGGCTTGTAATATAAAGTGGAATGAATCCTCGATAATGTATCTAATTTTCTACAAACTTCCGAAAGTTAACAGATAATAGGACATTTAGTTCTTGAAATGTTTTGTCGATAGATTAATTCATACTAGAAATCTCTGCTAACTCGGACCAATTACCGGTGAATCAGAATTTACTAAAGTCCGACTGGGCTGGATGTTTTCGATGACGTGGAAAACGAGAAAGTAGATATACGTACCGTAATTATGGTCAGTTCTATATAGAAATTTTACTAAGCTTTATTAGGTTATCGAATTTAAAATTACAGGAAATGAGCTCAAAAAAATTTTATGACAATATAGTAATGTACAGTCTTTAGTAACTTACTGACTACATTATAATACGCGGTATCGGAAAGACTTTGGTATCGAAAACTTAAGTATATAATTTTTTTTATTGTTAAGACATTTTAAATTATTATACAATTTTTCAAGAAAATTGTCCGAGGTATGCGAGGTCCGAGTTGACAGTGGTTTGCTGTATGTCTAAACAATAACATAATTGATTTTTAAAATAGCTTCAGAAACTAGTGTCTTGAATATTCTCATATTTTTCTATATTTATATTTATAGTTATTTGATGATTTTATGTTCAATGTTGAGAAATTGATTTTAAATTTAATTTCTCGTGAAGCTGGTGTACGATTATTCGTATTTAATGTCTGAAATTGTACGAAAAAGTAGACAGTTTCTAATTGAGTTTTTCACGTTCTGTTACTTTTAAGACGGTAAAATTATATAGTTCGCTTTCATCTTAAATTATTGAGTTAATCCAATATGCATAAAAAATTAAAATTTATTTTTAAATACAAGATTTAAATATTTAAAAAAATTGTTATTCTTTGAGAACTTTTCAATTTTTGTTTTGAACCTTTTAAAAGTAGTTTTCGTTATTTTTATCTGAATTATTTTTTTGTTTGTTCACACTTTTAATGGACGTGAAAGCTTTAAAAATTTTCTGAAATCACAAGTTAGTCTTTAAATTCTGTTTTGATTTTATTTTATTGAAAGAATTAAAGTGAAATTTATTGTTGTAAACTTCTCAGTATCTTTGATATAGTAACTAAATAATAGCATTATATCATATCATAATAATCGTCATTAATTGCTGTTTATGAAGTTTAAATTGTTTTATATATAGGAAAAGTGGAAAAATAGTGTACTTTGCTATTAATAGAAAACAACAGACAATGGAAAATTTAAGAAGGAAACTGTAAACAATCTGTTGTATAAATTTGAAAGCAGTTATGAATATCGGAGGTGTGAAAGAAAATTTAAGAAAGTTTTGTAAAAGATCACAGCATGGTAAGTTAATTTATTTGCGACATTAAATTAATGCTAATAATGCAGAATACAGTAGAGCGTCGTTTATCCGAATCAATTGCGGACTGAGGTTGTTCGTATAACTTATTTTTCGGATAACCGATTAAGCTATAAAAAAATATATTAACCTATCCCGTGTCGAAATTTTTCTCCGTTGAGTGTCGCTTCGCGTTGAATCTTCGTCGATGTTAAGTGTAACGTAAACTTTTTAAAATAATAATCGTGGCTATTGTATCATTAAAAATTATTTCTTTATTTTTTACGAACAAAATAAATACATTGAAATATATAAAAACTAAAAAAATTATACTTTAGAAGTTGATCTAGTATCAAAAAACGTTCGATTCAGCACGACACACAGTCCTCAGAAAAATACTACACAAAATACTAGTGCTGCCAGCTAAAACACACATACCAACAAAAAAATATTGGAGTACCCCAAGATGTAGCCAAAGATTGCAGCGTCACAGCACTAGCGAAAATTAAATTTGCCGACTGGAATGTTTTCAGTTAACCGACGTTTCGGATAACCGGCTTTCGGATAAAGAACGCTCTACTGTATTTTAAAAATAGTTTTATTTTTATTTATTTTAAGTTAAAATTATAAAACAGGAAAGATACTAATTATCCTGTCGTATATGGATACGTGGAATGATTCAATAATCATCTCCATATTCAGTGGTAGATTATCACCTTTATTCTAGTGATACAGGATCAGTGATAAACAAGGCATTTGCGCCAACCAGAGACTTGGAACATACGATTTATAAAGTACTCTTCACTGGATATTAGATTCCCTAACGCGGTCACTAACTCAGTCGATGTCATCCAGGTGCATAAACTATTAGTTGCGATAAATGAAGATATTCTTACATTTTGTGACTACAACACAGTCTTATTCCCGTTCATTAAAGTTGAAGCTGCTCTATCCCTGAGGAATAATACGTATTTTGTAACCTGGATTCGGCTGATTATAAAATATTGATTATCTAGACCTTTCTTTAATTCATGCTCTTCGTGGAACGGCTGTTTTTAAATCCAGATGACTTGGAATTCCTATAGGTTCGCCCGTTTTATACGATCTGTCGGACATAGGACGTTTAACTCAAGACACCATTATCATTAAAAGGTAACAACAAACTATAAAAGCTCTATGGTGCTATGTTGATGATGTACTCATCATTTCACAATCACGTAAGGTCTTTTACAGAAGACGTCAACAATATCTAGAACAACGGTGTAAACTACTTGGATATTACCGTTTACAAACATCTAAGGGAAGAATTTTTCGAAGGAGCACTTCGCTCGAGTCCTACATACATTAGAAATCATGCGACCTGGTATCATACAAAATAACATCATTACGCTCGCTGATTAAGAGTCGTTACATATTCAACGATAAATAAAGACTGTGATAATGAAATATTATTTATAAGAGTCATAGTGGCCATGCATTTGTATTTCCGGTAAAACTGGTTAACTCGACTAGCTCTCCTATAATCTGGAATGCCTCTAACGCCCACCCGTCTCGAATGCAGCGGATTCAAAGATAAAGAATCAAGGGTTATTTTCTGCATAAGTTTTCCAGCGGAACACCAAAGATACACATCAGTTGGTGGTGAAATGAATGCTCTTTGTTATGCAAATATTAAGAAACGAAAAGACTGCACATAGAACAGAAGAGAAAGCAAAGTAGTATATTTTCAAACTAAAGAGCATAAAAGTTTTTACTATTTAGCATCTACAATAAGAAATCTCTTTAAAAGAATGAATGAACATTGTACGTACGTCGGTTCGTAAAGCTGATACCTCGACTGGTACATTATTTCACAGGGCCTGTGATTAAAGTGTTAATCTTGTGAAATCATCCCATATTAAGAAAGAACATAACTTCGCTCCACAACTCAGAATGCTGGAACAATTATATATTTATTATCTAAATATATAAAATTTCTTGTCCTGACTGACTGACTGACTTAGTCACTGATTCATCATCGCCCAGAACAAACCGCTGAACCTAAAGAAGTGAAATTTGGTGCACAGTTAGGGTACGTCATGGAAACGCGCAATAAGAAGGGATTTTTCGAAATTCCCCAGCGGGGGGAAGAGGGAGAGGTTTAAGTCTTAACCGGAAGAACGGCTTCTACTGTACTATTTTAGATGAGATTTTTCGTTTTCAACTATGTTTAGTGAGTACTTCATTGAGTACTTAGGTGTATTAAATTGATAACATTTCAGATATTGTTATAAATATTTTTTATCTATTTCGATTTATTAACCAAATGTTCGAATCGTTTTAAATTCGAATTTGTTATTGCATATTGGTTCGATTATAGAACGATTGTAAACGTTCCAGAAAATTGATCAAATTAAAAACAGTTCGTTTGATTCTCGGCAATTCTCATCATTCTCAGCGGTAGGTGTTGTATAACAATTATAACTATGGTTGTTGAAATACTGAATATAAATGGGGTTTGTTTGCAAAATCCTCGCGGGCAAAGCCGCAGGTAACAGCTAGTTTTAACATAAAACGATGAGGTATTATAAATAAACATGATACGATCTTTCTAGAATATAAAAATGGTTATTGCAAACATTAAACGTACAGAATCTATCAACGACATATAATTAGTAGCATAATTTTCCCGTTTTTAAATAATTTTACTTACTTTTATTTTTATTTATTTAATTTTAATTATTATTTGTATTCGTTAAAATAACCTTTATCATTAGCCTTTATTTTTCTTTTAATTTTAAAAATGCGAAAAAATTTTACAAATTAGAATTAGAATAAACCTAATTGGAATAAACTATTATAAAATTATTAAACATGGAATTAGAATAAACTTAAATTAGTTTATTCTAATTCCGTGGTTGCTACCTTGTCAAGAAGGCTATGATTGATATATGTCGATGCGACATCTTAGACAATCAATCCCTGTAAATTATAAATTCGAAGTGAAAGAAACTAGTTACTTATAGTGTAAGTGGACAAGTTATCCCATTGATCAATCCTCCGGATAATCATTTATAAACTTTAGGAAATAATGTGAACATGCATTTTTTCCTCTTAAACTTTTATTAGCGTAATTGTTTTCACGCTATTCAAAAAAGCGCAGATACAGCAAAATACAGTATTTTGTTTTAATCGTACCAAGATTTTTACAGCTACCAAACAATTTTCATTTGATTACGTGAGCAGACTATTATTAACCAGTAGGTAATTTTCGTTTATAATAATTTGGCAAGGTTACTTTACTTTGGCAATTTGTGATTTGATTTTACTTTTGGAGTATTCCTGTCTTTGAATTAATGTTATAGTTATAAATATTTTGATTTATACTGTTGTATTTTTATAGTTATGAATGTGAGAGAGTTAGAATAAGACTATATAAAGTAGAAAAGATAAAACTTTCATGTGGAATGGGATCATGTTTATATTTTTAAATAAGAATTCGGCGAAAGCTTATATCTAATTTTCCATTAAAATAAGTCAGTACATAAAAAGGAAAATTTGAGACGATATCACGTAGAAAGCAGTTCTCACTTTTCCACGAGTTGTTATGAAACTCGTTGTTTTTATGGAAATACAAAATTTTAGAAATTTAGTGTTGAAGCACTAAAAGTGTTGTTGACTTCTGGACTAATACTTGTAAGCTTAATGCTTAAGGAAGAATGTTATTTCCTTGTGGTGAGGAGTTTTTCTTTTCTCAAAATTTGAAAAGAAACTAGAGTATTAGAAGAATTAGGATATGCAAGTAGAAAAATTTTAAATATATTAATTATAGTATAAAAACCTATATTAGTTAAACAAATCGTTTTAAGAGACAATTAACGAACAAAGATTATTTTGAATGAGTTACCATTCAGTAAAACTACGAGGCACATTTTACATTAAATAAGACAATTTTTGCGATAGATTGCAACAAAAGCTTGTTTTAAACTCTTCTTTGTGATATGATTTTCTTTACTTTTCGGTTTATTTATTATTTTCATAAAATTTATCAGAAAAAGAGTGAAAGGTATATATTTTACGTATTTAATGTTTACTGTAACATTTTATCTAATTTTACCCTAGTAATTATAGAAAAGTATTATCATATCATTATCTTGTTTAAAATTCGTATTTTGCTTTCTCTCATATTTTATTTTCTTCAGCTCTTACAACGACATCTCTCATTGTGTCAGTCCAAGGATATTTTTGCCATAATAAAACATTGTACAATTTTTACACTGATAACTATGTATACAATGAAAAGGAGTTTCTCTCTAAAGCTGCTATTTTCAAACACAAGTTCAGGAAAATCGATCTTGAGATATTAAAGTAAACGGTTATTTCTGAAAATATTACTCTGTATTTTATTTTATTGATCTATAGAACACAAATATTTATAGTAAGAATTTATTTAAATGTAATAATTTATCTGATGTTGACCTGTCAATCAAAACATACACTGTATAACGTCAGAAATTTTAGATTATTCTCGTGAGTTTAATGATTTCTTATTTATTTATATAAATTTATACATAAATCTATACTATATTTTCATAACCCGATCTTAAGTTGAAAATCATATCAAGTGATATTTGTTTTTACTTTTCCCCGGCATTGTTATATATAACAAAGGGAGAGTATGGCAATCGGTCAAAAAGTGATTCTCCAAGTTTTTTTACGTTTTAGGATTCGGGACCTCAAAACGTCGAGAAATGAAATGAAAAAAAATCAGGATTTTTCTCTATATGTTTGTTCGTTAAGTTATGGCAACGCAACACTTGGGCGATCTGTCTAGAGAATGCCTTCCGGGAGGTTTTTTAAGGGAAACTGACTCCTATTTAGGCGTTACAGACGTGGAGAAAACTCGGAAAACTCCACGTTGCCAGTCCGTTCGAGCGAGACCGAACCGCCAGTGTTCAGGATACGAAGACCGCTTGGCCATATGCTTGTATGCTAGTGTATGTGGGGGGGCACGATTTTTTTCACC